TTTCATTCGAGATAATCACAAGAAATATCCCACAATAATCATTGCCTAATTGACAGCTCCACCTGGTAATTAGTCTACATTTATAAGAGTGTTCTTGCAATTAGGAAATCATTGATTTTTGTGTGTGAATCTTGAGAATATAATTTTGAACTGAAGGGAAAGAAACAGATTTCATTCCACCTTTGGCCCTTATCGCAAGGATTTCTGTCATTTGAGATAATTGCAAGAAATATCCCACAATCATTGCCAACTTGACAGCTTTAGCTGGAAATTAGTCTATATTTATAAGATTTTTCTGGCTATTAGGAAATCATCGATTTTTGTGGCGAAGAATCTTGCAAATATAATTTGGAAGAAAAAAAAATCATTCCACCTTTTGCCCATATCGCAAGGATTTCGATGCCAATCAAAAAACTCATTTTAATGTAACAAACAGTAAGGACCAGTAATGACAGGTCAGTTGAGAAATACTTCTATAGAAGTAGTTCTGATCACATTATTATTTCTCCTATAGGAAGAATACTGTAACAAGTGAAATGTCTTTTTTTTTATCTTTTGGGGCGCACGAAAGGGAATCCTTTAGGAGAACATCGCGCGTACCTTGAAAGTATGGATAAGAAAAGTAGAAAGGTATTAGAGATTTCTTGTATCTTTCAGAGATTATACCACGCCTGTAATTGTTTACTGGTTCAAACAAGAATGAACTTCGACATAATTACAAAACTTAAAATGGCATCTTGTTATTGTGGATTGCAATAATGTTTTCCGACACTTAAATTCACAAAATGTTGAATTAATTTGTTAGGCCGCAGTGACCCTAACAACACCAGTACATCCTAGGGACTTCCCATGGACGTCCCTGATTTTATACTAGGACATCCCAGGGATGTCTTTTGTCGGGACAACGTACATACTAGGGATGTCCCAGGGACATCCGCTGGCCGCTAAAAAAGGCATCCAAGGGATGTCCTTCTGGTACGTCCTTGGGATGTACCAAGTACGATGAAAGGGTATCCCTAGGACGTCCCAAGGATATCCCAGGGACATCCTTTCGACAAAAGAAAAAAGTTGCAGGTCGAGTAGGGATTGAACCCGGGACCTTTGGCTTATCATGCACGCACCTTGCTCCATTGGTTATCATGCCTCCTGAAGATTTATGTACTAAACAGATTTATAAACAGGACTTAACTACATAAACCTGAATAAATACAACTTTATTAGGAATTGGGTATAATTATTATCATTCTTGGGTGTTTAAAAATGAGGGGCATTATGCATGTACGATTTCAGTCTGCGAAAAATGGTAATTTCTTAAGAAGTTCTGAGACTATCCTTTATTTTCATTACAATCATTTTCCAGAAGAGAAACAAACATTTTCAAAAAAATTCGACTCAATAGTTTGATGAAATTCAATGACTCTGATGTGAATGGATATCAGATACTCCAGGGACACGAATAGGATAACCTAGGGATGTACCGGGCGGGATGTCCACTGGACAACCACTGCAGGACATCCCCTGAATGTCCCAATCATGTCCTTGTACCGCGGAACAAAAAAGGTACGTACCTAGGACATCCCTGTGTTGTTAGGGGAGTTAGGAAAGTTGCCAAACTTTTTGTTAAAAGTTCCCTAAACTGTGCTTCTTGTCACACAACCATTAATAAGGATATTCCGCATTCTCATTGCACTCTGTATATGGTGTCTACGCCTTAATAAATATTTTTTGGGATTCTTGGTGGTCCTATTAGCATTCCCCAAGGGAGCCCGATGAAAAACTGGGCCATAATTTTGATATCTAAACCAGTTTCATTAGCTTGTTAAAAATCGATCGGATATTCAATTCGAACACAGGGGCGTCCACCCAATTAATTTGGGTGTTTTCTATTTTAATGAGCCCACTTGAAATTATGCCCTGTCAAGCTAATGACGATAACATTGATTTAATGGAAATGTTTCCACGTTTCCATGTTGATTATAATTTACAGGATGTTGCAGTTTCAATCTGATAAATACTGATTAGTCGAAGTTTGAAAAATGAAACCACTTCAAATAGTATACGAATTATTATACGATACGATATGATACTTTTTTTTCTCTACGTACAGGGTGATCAGTTAAGGGTAGCGAGCGGCCATATTGGTCGTATAGATTTGATGAAAGTCGCCAAGAGAATTTGCTGGAAATTATTTTCGAGTTGGTCAAACGTCCGCTAGAGGGCGTAACAACCAACACCAAGTAGAAAAATGAGATTTTTATAGAATTTTGTCTGATGAAAGTATATCGATGATATCATTTTCCTATTTACTGACCATTTCCCTACATTTTTTGTCTGAAACGTTTTGTTCTATCTATCAAAATAAAGCGGTGGGGGAAGTTCAATGATATTTTCGAACAAACCAAGATTTCTCCCGTTTATTTCGACCGATATTAGCAGGCTCATATGAAAGAGCATAATTTGCCCTACAAAACGCTTATTCGGTTTTGAATTTGTGACTTTTGCTATCGCCGCTAGATGGCGTTAACTAATGTAATGGTATATTAATTTTTATATGTTTCAAAAGAGGATAAATTTCTCTATAATTGAATGGAAATAATTTATCATCTACTTTTTTTTGAACCGTTGATACTGACCAAAATATAATTTAATTGGCACGCCACTGTTTTTCATCGATAAAAAAATCAGTTTTGTAATCTCTTATAAGTTGCTAACAAAAAGAACCTCCTGACTTTTTTCGCTAGACAAACGGTTTTGCGATTGAAAAAATTAAATTGGTTCACATGATGTTATATTTTGAAATAATTTTGAACCTCATAATCATCATTGTAAACAGAATGCAGACAAATTCTGAGAGTAGAATCATAATCTCCGACCCCGAAAACACCCAGATAACAGTTTTGAAGAGAGTAGGATCATAACTACAATACTACTCAGCCATATTGGGTCGGCCATCTTGAATTTCCCAATTTTGACGAAAGAATCATAATCTTTGACCCCGAGAACCACCAAATACCAAATTTGAATAGAATCGGATCCTGATTACAGAATCCCTCATCTTGGATTCATCATCTTGAATTTCTCAATTTTGACGGGGGAATCATAATCCCCTATCACGAAAACCCCTATAGGTACCAATTTTGAAAAGAATGGGATTATAATTACAAAACTCGTCCGCCATATTGGTTCCACCATCTTGAATTCACAAATTCCGCCCGAATTTTCAAATTCTGACGAGAGAATCATAATCTACGACCCCGAAAACACCCAGATACCAATTTTGAATAGACAAAACTGGTCCGATATATTAGATCCGCCATCTTGAATTTCCTTATGGTACTGGGATAAAAAATATCCTGTATCCTTCTCCTGGCTCTAAGCTACCTCTCCACCAATTTTCAGCCAAATCGATCCAGTAGTTTCGGAGACTATTGAATACATACAGACAAAAAAACAAACAAAAAATCAATCGAATCTCTCCTCTTTATAATGTTAGTATAGATTATAATAACTAGTGCGATAATATGAAACTATCTTAACTATCTTGTAAGATCTTGGAACTTGTGTTCTTTTGACTCCTTACACAATAATCTCGATGACCAGAACAAGGAATTGCTCAGCAATTTTAACGAGGCATGCGCTAAAAACCGAAATGGCTTGAAGTATGTGAAATATCGTGTTTGATATGCAGGATAGAATGGAGCATGGTATATGATCGCCATTTACGTTTTTGCTCTCAGAGAAATGCCGAGAGATCGTCAGCGATCAAGAATGACTACTTACCGGAATTGTATACAGGGTGGTCCAATTTTGCAAATATAAAAATTTCATGATATGAAATTTTTATCATATCATCAGATTTTGTTTTATAAAAGTTCAACACCTTGTGCCATGATGGAGAACTCAGGATTACCAGACCATCAATGATCGAGAATATTTTTCCTCAAATATACATATTTACTTGCGATACTATCAGTATATTCGCATGTTTCGAACGATAAGATTATTCCAATTTCCAATTTTAGGATTTTTTTGTGTCGAAACTATTCATTATCGATCAAAACGGCTCACATGTCCCTATCTTAACTTCACTTTTGTCTGACATCCAATTGGAACAGATACAGGGTGATCAGAATTCTGAATTTTGAAGCACCCTGTAATGTTTCCAATTAAGATAGATACAGGGTGATGAAGTTTTGAAAAATATTAAGTTTCTTGATAATAACTGAGACAATATTGTATACATCTTCATGACATTTGGTACTCGTCTTTAAAGTATCAAGGTGCATTTTATGATGTACACAAATCTTCTCTACCAGTGGCACCGTTACGAGAATATAATTGTTTATATTTTACTTGAAAGTAAATTTTCAAATTTCGTACAATGCTATGAAAGACTATTCAATTATGTACAAAAAAGATTCTATTGTTGATACTCAATAGAACGCTTCGTTTCAGAGAAAAAACGGAAGAACCAGACCAGACTTCAGAGGACCCTGCACTAAACTATAGGGAAAATGGCTTTCGATGAAAATCGCTGAATTTTTGGTATGTTGCAGACTCTGAAATACTGAACAGATATTCCATTAAACTAACCTCAAAAAATGGACAATTTTTTCGATATCGATCTTCAAATGTCATTTTTTAGAGAAAAAAAAATATCTGAAAATGGTTGAATTTCTGGCATGTTGAAGATAGGAATGAACTGATGATAAAATTCAATTGACCTAACCTCCAAAAATGTACAGTTTTCTCGATATTGACCTGAAAATGGCTGAAGTTCTGGTGAGTTGACAATGAAAAGTCATAAGATGAACCGAAAAAATAACATGGGGGGGTGCAATTTGTTAAACCAAAGTTAAGGGTGGATTCAAGCAGATTGTTTCACAATTTTTCAAAATTTGTTTGAATGTTAGATGACCCAGATATCTGCTAACCTTAAAGCTTTGGAATACACGGTATAGGTATATTTCACGAATAAAGTGATTGTATGTTTTTTTTACCTAAAACTGCATCTAAGTCAACAGGTAGTTGACAGTTCACTCCACAGGACTGGTGACAACACTTCGACACTCCTTGACAGTTCGAATCACTCCAACATCTTCTTTCACAAGTACCTGGATACTGCGTCGATGAAATAGATTTCATGTATGGACAGCTTCCTGGTTTGATTACTTCTTTCAGGCAGGCTTTCATGCACTGAAAAAAATCAGGAAAGGTACTATACAGGAAAACGAACGAATGAATAACTTAGTTCGGAATAGAGGTCACTAGCTTACTGAGAAAGTGGCCAGGTTAGGATTTCGACTGAAGATGAACATATTCCTCTCCTATCTCATTATTTCCTTGAAAATGTAACACCAGTGATTTTTATACAGTTGAATTGGGTTTTTATGACAATGGGCGTGTACACCTTAGTAGAACTTTTAACTCAAACCATGTTTATAATGCTCGTTTTATACATAAATAATGATTGACGACATAATTCGATCGAAAAATTAACTGGAATGTTTTATTTTTGGACATAAATAATAGTACCTTCTGAAAACGGACCCTCTTATGACGTAGAAACCTCATCTCGTCATAGTTAAAAGAAAATACCAAACGCTCGACGGAGACTGAGGCAACTGATATATTAATTCTTTCAACTGTGATCTCGCGCTAATTCACTCTGTCAGAAATCATGTATCATTCATCTCTGTCTGGAATAGTCTTGTTTCAGTATTAGGGTTTTGACGTCACATCATCGCCTCGTATTCAGAGGTTCGAAAAATCGGGGATTTCAATAATTTTTTATAAAACGTAGGGAGCTCACAGCAAGAAACGGTTTGCGGTGGTGAGCTAGTTTGGGTGAGTTCTATCGAATTATGAAATACATTTTTTTTGTGATACAAGCCCATTGGTGCCGAAACTGCGACCCAAACTAAATATATTCATGAACCTGTTTGCAAATCAAATGAACAAATAAAATCTCAAATTATTCCATTTTCAAACACAATCTGGTGTGAAATATTCATATCGAATACCACACGAGGTCAAATTACTTTCTGGGAAATTTTTCTCGCTCATGAATTATCCCTCGTCTTCGACTCGGAATAATTTTCAAAATAACCATGAGCTCGAAAAAATTTCCGGAAATAATTGGACCTCTAGTGGCATTACAAGTGATAATTTCTTCAGTTTATCTACTCATAAAGAGCGCATGAAATAAAATTCTAACTAGTGTGCTTAAATTCAGTTCAATCCCCCAGCAAAAACTGATACTTTAGTCCCTGTGATTAATAATAATAATAATAATAATAATGATAACAATAATATTTATTTCACTTGTTAAACCGTATGAAAGCGTTACAATAAACATTTACGTACAGTAACAAGGAATACGTCTGTGTATAAATAAGAGAGTAGGAGATAAATATATATATAGAAAAAAAACAAACATTTTATATAAAACGACAAAACTTGACACCTATTAATTTGAACATATACAGATGGGTGATTTATTGATTATCGTGAGTTACTAAAACTCGTCAACAGTGTAGCAGTTTCTTTCTATGAGATATTTTTTTAATTGTCTTTTGAATATGGAGATATTCTTTGAATCCTTAATAGAAACATCTAGCTTGTTAAATAGTTTGGGTCCAAGGTAGAGGTGACTCCTCTGATAAAGGGAGGTTCGGTGAGGGTTTGCTATCAGCAAACCTCTTGCTCTCGTTGGATAAGGGTGGTCTTGTTGGTTTGCCCTTAATTTATCTCTATTCTTATAAACGTAGAGACATATCTCATATATATACAGACCAGCAACTGTGAGTATTTCCAGCTCTCTAAATGAGTTTCTGCATGATTGTCGCCATCCTAAATTAGCAATGATTCTGACCGCGCGTTTTTGTAGAATGAATACTCTTTCAACAGAAGAGCTCATACCCCAATTTAGGATTCCATAGCGCAGGTGACAGCCAATAGTTGCATAATACAGATTTAGCAGGACCTCTATTCCACAATGATTGACATAAATCTCAGTGCATAACAGTTCTTTCATAATTTATCACATAATGCATCTATATGAGGACTCCAATTGAGCTTATGATCTATAATTAGACCTAGCATTTTTGTTTCTGGGTTGGATGTCACCTCTATTTGGTTATCTTCATATATTTTTAGAGTTTTAGTTGTGTTATGCATTGAAAATTTTACTAATGCTTTTTGTTGATATTTAGTGCTAAGTGATTTTTATCAGCCCATTCCATTATTCTCTCATATATGATTATAATCTAGTTTCATTATTTAGATACTGATTAAAAAAAAAAATGAAGCAAAAGTGTCAAATAAGGAACTTTAGATACAACACTATAGGTACATCATTCAGAAACATAAAAGGGTGTGATATAGCTTTAACGCCGTTTTAGAAACTTTAGAAAAACCTATATGGCCGTTCTTGACGAGTATGCATTTCTCTAATTCCACCTGACAGAGTAGTTTTTCTTCCGTTTGACGGGTATATCTTGATACTGTTGTTTATTCATCGATCTGCCATGTGTTATAAATGGAAAGACTAGATCCAGTTCCGCAACATTTATCCTTTCTGTAATACTGGCGTACTCTTGGGGGGGTCACAGGGGGCTAATCTCTCTTGGGTGAAAATCAAAGATTAGGAGTATCGTTCATTATTCCAGATTTGTTGAGATTTTCTCTCCTCGTTTTTATAAAATAAAAATATGAATGTTATTTCAATATACGTGTAGTAAGGACAAATCAAATGATTTGCCCCAAAATGTCACTGCGTTTAAGTAATTTTCCTATCAGAGAGCCTGAAAGAAAAATTCACTAGCTTGTCAGTGAATATTTGTATTGAAATAAGTTTGGAGGAGAGAAATAAAGGTATATAAAAAAATATCAAATTTTCACTCAGCTTTCAGACGTTCCGGGAACGAATCTGCTCCTTTTTTCACCATAAAAAATGGATTTTTTTGTATCGCAAATTCGTATTTGTCCTAAGTTCTCAGTTACAATTGGTGACGTTGAAAACGGGAGCAGATTCGTTCCCGAAACGTCCAAAGCTAAGTAAAAATTTGATATTTTTCCTATATACCTTTATTCTTCTTCTCCAAACTTGTTTCCTTACAAATTGTCACTGACAGGCTAGTGAATTTTTCTTTTAGACTCTCTGATAGGAAAATTCTTCAAACGCACTGACATTTTGGCGCAAATCAAGTGATTTGTCCTTACTACACGTATATTGAAATAATATTCATATTTTTATTTTATAGAAACGAGAAGAGAAAATCCCAAAAAATCTGAAATAATGAATGTACCATCTCCTCGATTAACCTGCAGACCTTATTTAGGAGTATCGTGTTCGAAAGTTGAAGCTTAGCCAATATCTTCACATAACTCTAATAAAGTAAGGTGGGTGCGGGTAATAAGGCCTAGCTAAGGGGGATTTGAAATAAAATGGAAACTATTTAATAAAATCAACGAATTTCAATGTTAATTAAACCTTAAGATCAGGTCCTGTCAAAAATAAACAGAACATGGCAACGTGTGTCATAAATAAAAACATGATTGAGCATTTTTAAAAACCTTGTCAGTAGGCCTTATTATACTATAGTAGGATAATAAGGCCTATGACTGTAATATGCATAGGAAATAAAAACAGGCTCCTAACATTTGGTAAGTGAGATCGATAATTGATAATCATGCATTGATCATGCTGAGGTCTTGAAAATAACAACAAATTTATTTGTTTAACAACCCTCAGGACACTGAAAATTATCTGTATCATCCGCTGACAAACCGACGCACTCCTCGTGATAATTTAGAACATTGTCTCATGTCAGCCATTCCTCCTCACAAACATGACAGTACCAAACTCGCCTGGTTCTGTTCAGTACCACTTCTACTTTTGGGGGTTGAGGTCTTTTTAATTATTTTATTGGTAGGCCTTAATAACCTCCAACAACGTGTGTAAAGGAAATGTGAAAAAAACATTATTCGGAACTTGATATATTATTCAAACATCAAAGATCGCAGAACCATGACATAATAGGAAACTATAACGCAGAATTATATCAATAAGTGTGATATTTCAAAAAATACGTACGATTGATTTGGACGAATTCTTATTATTCGAGCCACACGACCACTACTCTTAACAAATGACACCGCACTGGTCGCCCTTAGCGACCAAACACATCGCGGCAGATTTCAGGCGTCTTCTATGATAGTTAGCGACCTGTTAGTGTGACCTTGACCGACACCGACAATTTTAAATTGCATTTTCATCATATAGGCCTTATTAGCCGACAGGCCTTATTACCCGCGCCTACCTTAGTGTTGAAGCGTTCAACTTATTGATAATATTATCGACATGTGGTTCAAATGATTGAGTGCTGAAAATAAGAAGCCAAAAAAATAAGTCTGATCTGTACATGGCACAACACAGTTTTTATTTTCATTACATTTGGAAATTCGTGGCTGCGATGACTGGTAGGTAGTGAAAAGGACTGCAACTCCCTTATTTGCATCAGATTAGGAAACTATTATGCACTTATATTAGTGAATTCGAATCGTCAGCAAAGTTAATTATTCTAAGATTACTGCAACCTATATTTTCGGCATCATTTAGATAGATTATTGATAGAAGCGGGCAAGCCACACGTCCCTGGGGAATTCCCATTTCAATGATTTGAAGTAGTCAAATACAGGTCTTTGTAAACGATAAGCATCTAGTTTATCATATAAGAATTGTTCATGATTCAAACATCGGCAGGTCTAAGTCAAAGTCTAAAAATTGCCTAAGTTGTTTCAGTCGATCTGCCTTTTTGGAAATCATGTCATATGTGTACCATAGACGTAGTACATAGCAATTTCCATCAAGAAGTTTAATTCTGTTACACAAAATAAGTTTGGTCTGTACATGGCTCGGTAGGTAGTAAAAAAACTGCACCTCCATTACTTGCATCAAATTGAGAAACTATTATGCATCCATATCAGTGATTGAAATCGTCAGCATAGTTAATTATTCTTAGATTAGTGCATAAATGCAACACTTCCCTTGGGAATTCCCGTTTCAATGATTTGAACCAGTCAAATACAGGTCTTTGTAAACGATAAGCACTTCATCAAACAACTGTTTATGATTCAAACAATCGCAGGCCTAAGTTGATGTATAAAAAAATTCCTAACCTGTTTCAGTCGAT